AGAGCATCCACTTTATGTTTACCACTATTTTTTCATATATTTCTATAGATAATGTTGGACAAAGGACAATATTACCATCGTCATTTATTGGAAGTAAGCGAGACATGACACAAAGATATCAAGATGGCATGGCTATTGTTCTTAATGATGGTAAACGGGATATATTCCTTACAATGACATGCAATCCTTCCTGGATTGAGATAACTTCCGAATTAGGCCTCCATCAAACTCCACAAGATCGACTTGATTTGCTAACAAGAATTTTTCGATCAAAATTTGAGCAGTTGAAGGATGATGTCATAATGTAAAGGAGTCTTAAGGAGAGTTAGGAGTTATATGTATGTAACGGAATTTCAGAAATGTGGACTACCACATGTGCATATGCTACTCATCTTGAATACTGATGACAAGTTACACGAACCTGAAGAGTATGATAGTGTGCTCAAAGCAGAAATACCACGACATGAATTTGAACTAGAATTGTATGAAGCGGTGTTAAAACACATGATCCATGGTCCATGTGGAGTATTGAATCAAAAATCTCCATGTATGAAGAATGGTCATTGTAAAAAAAGATACCCAAAAGAATTTTGTGAAGAAACGCGTTAGGGAAATGACTCATACCCGAAATACAGAAGAAGGTTTAGTGATCCCATTTTTATAAATAGAAATAAGTCTATTGATAATAGATGGGTGGTTTCTTATAACCCATGGTTGTTGTTGAAGTATGATTGTCACATCAATGTCGAGATTTGCAGCAGCATCAAAAGCATTAAATATTTATATAAATATGTTTACAAAGGTCCTGATCGAGTTGCAATGGAAGTTCACAGAGGTACAGGTTTGGATGAGATTCAACAATATGTTGATGCAAGATGGATTTGTGCTCCATAGGCATGGTGGAAAATATTTAAATTCACACTTTACAAGTTATATCCCTCTGTTGAAAGACTATAAATCCACTTGCCAAATCATCATCAAGTGCGGTTTTATAAGCATCAAAGAATCACAGGTGTGCTAAATGATAACCAAAATGCAGTAACCATGCTCATTGAATTCTTTGCACTAAACCAAATGGATCCACATGCTAGGATTATTTGTACAGAGAGATTCTAGAGCATTATTATTGGCTAAAAGGGGTCGAGAAATGGCAGTGAAGGCAGACAAAACGAAAAGTTATTGGTCGAATCTATACAGTATCCCCTTCAGAAGGTGAGAAATTTTATGTACGTGTTTTGTTGTCTCATTTAAGAGGTCCAACAAGCTGGGAATGCCTTCTTACACATAATGGTGCATGTTTTTTCACATTCAAAAAATCAGCTGAGGATTGGGGGTTATTAGAGAGTGATAATAGTATTCGTGAATGTTTTCTTGAAGCATCAAATATGCGTATGCCATATGCTTTACGAAGGTTGTTTGTGACTATATTAATTTTTGTGAACCAACTGATGTTAGAGGCCTATTTAATGAGTTTTATCCCTACATGGTGGAGGATTATCAAATGACAAATATTGTTATGGGGGATAACTTTGAAAATATGTTATTGAGGGAATTGAGGGATCTTTTGCTAGTACATGGAAAACTAATAAAAAACTACGATCTTCCAATGTTGACAACGGAAACAAATGAAGTCGGGGGAGTGCCAACAATTATTCAAGAAGAGTTATCGGTCCAAATTCCAAACGAAGACGTTCAATCTGTTGTGAAGTTAAATAATGACCAGATGAGTGCTTACAATATAATTTTGAATGCCATCCACCAAAAACAAGGTCAAATTTTTGTTGTTGATGGTCCTGGAGGGACAGGTAAAACTTTCCTTTATCGAACTATAATGGCAAATTTGAGGCGTAATAATGAATTGTCTTAGCAACAGCTTCCTCCGGTATAGCTGCTACATTATTACCTGGTGGCAGAACTACACACTCTCGATTTGGGATCCCCATTGATATAGAGCCCCATTCCATTTGCAAAATAGTAAAGAATTCTGACCTTGCAAAACTCATTAGAATAACCAATGCAATCATTTGGGATGAAGCGCCCATGATAAATAAATATTGTGTAGAAGCATTAGATCGATCACTTCAAGACATCATGAATAACAATGCTCCATTTTATGGAAAAATAAGGATCATGGGCGGAGATTTTCGTCAGGTGCTACCTGTTATTGAAAAAGGAAATAGAGGACAAATGATTTCAGCATGTATTGTTAGGTCTCGATTATGGGCCACCACAAAGGTCCTACATTTGCGCCAAAACATGCGATCAATTCATGACCAGGACTTTGCACAATTTCTTATGAGGATTGGAGATGGTAATGAACCTACTAAAGAGGATGACATGGTCAGAATGCCTGCTGAAATTGTAATACCATGGGAAGGAGAAAGCTCCATACAAAAGCTTATACAACATACATTCTCCCAATTAGAAAACCATGGATGTGATGCTTCATATATGGTGGAGAGAGCGATACTTGCTCCAAAAAATTGTGATGTGCATATGTTGAATGACATGATTATTGATAAATTCCCTGGAGATGAACATATTTTGTTATCTTTTGATGAGGTTGAGGGTGATACTCATAATCTATATCAACAGGAATACTTGCACATGATTGCTCCTGGTGCTTTACCGCCACATATTTTAAAGATAAAAATAGGGGCTCCACTGATGTTGTTGCGAAACATAGACCCTAAATTTGGGTTGTGTAATGGGACAAGGTTGTTATGTCGTGGTTTTTTTATGAATTTGCTTGATGTTGAAATACTTACAGGCCACAATGCTGGAAAAAGAGCTTTCTTGCCAAGAATTAAACTTAAAACCACTGAAGGTGCGGGACTTCCCTTTGTACTTATTAGAAAACAGTTTCCTGTCAAACTAAGCTTTGCACTCACTATAAATAAATCCCAAGGACAAACAATTCCAAATGTCGGAATTTATCTTCCACGAAATGTTTTCAGTCACAGACAATTGTATGTTGCTTTATTAAGAGGTGTTTCGCGGACTGCAACAAGAGTGCTAATTAAAGACAGAAGAGTAAGTGGGGAAGAAGGGGAGTTTACAAAAAATATAGTTTTTAAAAAAATTTTGTTGTCACAAACTCAGGTATTTATCTATTATGTTTAATCATTCAACTATACTTTTGCAATCTCACACTAGGCGTGTACTTACTAGATTACACTATACCATTGACTACTAAAATATACTTCATTTGCTTTGTAGCGAAACGAGAGATATTTCTGATTTTGATTCCATGGTTGACCTTCCTATTAAGCAATAAAGTAACTTAATATCCGTGTTAATGTTTATGTTTATTTGCTTAATAAATTGTGAGAAAGATTTTTGTTCTTATTTTATCTAAATCTTCTTATGATTTTGACTAATCTATAGCAATATATAAATACAAAACTTAATTTTGGTGTAACCTAATTTCTTTTCCCATAATACGGTAATCCCAACCACCAAATTATTCTACTCACATTATTTACTTGCTTGAAAAAACTAATTAAATAAAGTTACGTCACAATACAATTTTCTCAATTCAAACAAAATTTAATGTGCGAATATTACATATTGTAAATAAAACTTAATATGTATCTGAATAAAAATAAAATGTTTCATCATATAAATTGTTTATATTAAAATCAATATAAATAGTTTAAAGTAAAATTAAATTTATAAAAAAATACGTTGTTAATATTTTTACGCGTTAGCACAATAAAAAAAGCGGACAAACGGACACAGACGTGCCCGTTTGGACGCTAGTTAATATATAAAGTAAAGTTGTGGGACTCAATATGAGTTCTTCAGAGTTGCACCATTAGAGTGAAAAATTAATTAAGTTGCTTCAAGTTGACGTGGCTTAATAGGTCCCACAAAGAATCCAAAAATGGATTCACGGTTGGAAATGCTCTAACTTAATACTCCAATTACCTTTAATTGATGGATTATAAAAACGCACAAGCAATACAAGCAGTGTTTTAAAAACCAGATCGGTCATCGAACCGGTGAGAGTATTCGGTCACTGGTTTATCGGTCGAACTACTGGGTCACTGGTCGAACCGCATGACTAAACCAGATTAAATCAGATAACTCGGTTGAATAGACCTGTAATTATATAGATATAAAACCGGTCAAACCGGATGATTCAGTTTCTAAAAAAATATAACTAGTACTTAAATTTTTTGAAAATATCATAAATTCACAAGTTCATAATTTAAATTCAAATTTTAAACAAATATATCACACATAACAAAATTCAAATTTTAAATAAATGTATCACGCGTAACAAAATTACAAAATAATTGCAACATAATCTAATTTTAAACATTTTTTTTTAATTTTTATAACTTTTGCATTTAAATTTTAATTAAAAAATAAAAAATACATTAGAATCGGTCCAACTATAAACCCGATTTTTCCCGGCCCAACCCGGTTTTTACCGGTTTGATGACACAGACGATCGAACTAGTAAACCAAGCCGATTACTAGGCCGGTTCCCGGTCCGACCGGCTGGTCCGGTTTGATTTTTAAAACACTGAATACAAGACCATACTTTAACATGTCAATTCTTAATCCAAACTTGATTGTTAGTAAACATGCAAATCAAATTACCAAAATTAAATGATAATTTGCTCAAAATAATATTTCCGGACCCAAATCACAGTCGTATTAAAGTACCAAATACGCGTGTCCATTCATTTCAAACAAATAAAAGACTGAAAACAAAAAAGATAGTAAGACTAGAACAAAAGCACTGCAACCAATAAAGGGATCACGTGCAGAAAAAGTGACAAGCCATGGATTTGTCAAAAAAATAACAATAATGTAAAAGGAATAGAATAGCAAGCCAAAAACAAGGGAAGACAATACCACAAGGATTGAATGAAAGTTGCTATTGAATTCATATATGAACTATGTGAAAAATTCAACAACGTTGCATCTGCGTATCATCGTGAGTCAAACATGCTGGCTTTCAGCCTAAATTTCAAGATGAAATCAACCTAACGGAAATAAATGGATACTAGAGGGATATCAACATCATTATCATCCTCATCCTCACATGCAACAACCACATCCAAATGACGACGGTATGGAGGGATCACTAACTTAGCTACTTCCCTTCCCAGATCTACCATCTTTTTGTCTATTCGCTCTTTATGCCTTTGGAACATGCTATTATAGAGCAAACTATTCCCACATGAAATACTATAAGCATTCAAGCCTTTAGCCTTCAGCCACTGAAGAACTTCCCTCAGGGTAGGGTTGTTTCCTAGTGTCCATCTGTCCCAAACTGTCCAACTCAACTCTTGATGTTTAATAACCTTTGGTGGGACTGGCTCGGCCATTGAAAATAGAGGCAATGCTAAGTTTGCAAATGTATTTCTATAGTCTTCAACTTTGTGGTCCCCATCCAAAACTTTGTACAGCTCCAGGCAGACGAGACCAGTGGCCATGGCAGTTGAGGTTGCAATAGCAGGGATAATCCGTCCAGCAATAAATTTGGCTTTAAGCTTGTCAACCTCAGGAATGCTGTAATTCCGAGCCCTCATATTTGCAAGCCCAGCAATCACATCCATATGGTAGTTTGTATCATCATCCTGCAGTTTTTTTAACAGGAAGTCAATTTCTTAGTTTAGGAAAATTATACACACAAATTGAACTCAAATATCGTGACAATCCAATTTCAAGCAAATACAAAAAAATAAACCCTGCCAAATCCAGACCTACTCAAACTAGATAGTTGCAATTGGAATGAAGAAAAAACAGACCTTCTCAAACTGAATTGGATTCATCCTGAATGTTGGGGGCAAATTTGTTCGGCACCTCTCTAACTTGATTATTAGATCATTAATAACCTTTGCATCATCTACAGATGCAGCGGAGAGACTAGTGGCCTTCTCGTCTGTCACTACTTTCACGCCTTCCTTAGGCTGAAAGTCAGGTACAATCACCCTATCAACTGCATCAGCCACCTTCCTAGAGTTCTTAACCCAGTCAGGGATCGTTATACCAAAAGTTTCTGCGCGTAAAATAGCAGCAGCCACCACAAAATGTAGATGACCCAGATCAGAGGACGAAAATTGCAGTGGACGAGGAAATCTTTTTGGTGCAGACCAGAAAGGAGCTCCGGTACTAGTTGCAGCATCTTCAGGAAAAGTAAAGGCCAACTGCTTCACCCGGTTAGCAAAATAATCTTCAAACCTGTAGATAAAAATGGTTATAAATGGACAGGAATTAATATGCTCCCATAACATTACTAAAAGAGAACACGAGTAAATATTGTAATAGGCACGTACTTCAGCCGCGCCCAAGTAACACAATCTTCAAAAGTTTCACATTTATCCCTGTCCAGGCAATCAAGAACACGCTCCAAATTATCCCTTGCTTGAGCGTCCCCAGCTTTCCTCATTGCAGTAGCATATTCACCTGGGTTGGACAAATATGTATTCACTTCTGCTGGAGTTTTCTCAAGCAATCCGTCAAACTCTGACCGCGCCCATGTCAAGCAGTGGTCAATATTGTGTGGGAATGAGTGCACAGTACACATTGGTGCCTGTTTCTCAGGGGGGTCTCTTGATGCACCATAGTTTTCTGTCAGATGGGGAACAACCATCTGGGTATTGCATTTTGCTCCAAGAGTCCCAGATTCAAGAAGAGGCTTTTGGAAATACAAGCATCTCTGATCAACATACAGTCTTGCATTCACATTGTCCAGCGCATTTATCACAACACCCAAGTTTTCCCAGAAGGTATCATGAAACACATTTTCAGTTTCAGCGCTGACACGATTTTGTAGAGCTTCAATATTAAAACTAGGATTTATAGATGCAGCGGCTGAAGCAGCAACTGTGGACTTGGCCTGTCCAATATTCCAATCACGAAAGAGGAACTGCCTGCTTAGATTGCTCTTCTCTATCACATCATCATCAGTAATTGTTAGTTTTCCCTGATTTCCACAAGAAACGCCCATAAGAGCAAGATTTTTCAAAAATTCACACCCCAAAGCACCAGAGCCAACAACAAACACTTGAGAATCCTGTAACTTTTTTTGTAACTTCCGTCCAAAAACTGAAATCTGTGCATCATAACGACTATTCACTGGACGGAAATCATCTGAGTCCAGTGGTTCTGAAGGAAGTGATTCCACAGAATCAAAATAGAAAAACTGCAGAGGAACAAAAATTTAAACAAAAATTAATAACATGCTTAATAATGCTCATTAAAAGGGAAAGGCAAATAACTATAAAACTCCTAAACAATAAAAACATAATTCACTTATATTGCCATCCCTATAAATTAGGCAAAAACTAAAGTCCTACTAATTAACTACCACCAAGCATAATGACGCATCAACACTACCTTGAAATAACGTTAAAAGTTGTTAAAAGTTATTAATATTGGATTACGGGCACACAGATCCCAAAAACACCACGGCTCACAGAAAGAGAACCAAGGTGCTGTGATAATTATTCACAACCTGAACTTGTGCTTAAAAAACCAAAAAATTAATAGACAAAACAGAAACTGGGGTTTAACATTAACAGAGCACAAAGTAAATAAAGCATCCTGTTGGCAAAGAAGCTGGAGTACAGAGAGCAATGAGTCTAGAAAATTGCAAGAGTTAACTTGAAAAGATGCCACCAAGCAACATGTCAGACAGCAGGGAAAAAAAGGAGTCATTCATATTATGTCAAATTCAATGAAAATTGAATTTGACTACTCACCACAGACGATTGGCAGCAAATAAACATGATAGATGCTGTAACAACCGTCACAGAAAAGTCTTGTAACTGCTAGGGCGGTCTTCTTCTATAGTGAGCTACTGTTAACTGTGGTCAAATATGATGTACTTAAGCCCACCACAACAACAATTTCACTTTGTCACCTTTGTTCTTATTTCTTTAAACTCGCCGCATCTATTGCGCTTTAATGAGTTGGAGAGAAGTGTGGCATTTGATAGAACATTATATCAAGATTTGATCCATGAAGTTGACTCTACTTAGTGTGATAAGGCATTGTTGTTGTCAACATGGATCAAATTACACCATAATGCTCTATCAATGATTGTGTTCCTATCCAACTTGTCAATCTTGAGATCTTGCTTGATAGTTTCTCTTGTAGTTTTTTTAGGTCTTCCTCTACCTCTAGTTGTTTGACTACCTATGGTTTCTCCAACGCAATTAGTATTAAATCTTAATGGCTATAATCTGTAATTTCCTAAACTTGTTTAAATATCTAATACATCACAATGATGTCGTTGTCACCTGAGAAGCTAATAGTACAAAACACTAAGGCCCTCTTCATTACGGATGAATGCAAATAGACGGGGTGACAGATGGAAGAAAAATAAGCAACCTGTTCCTGGTTGCCAAACCACTTTAAAGTGACCCCACAATGCTATATCAACTTTAAGCAATCCATCCAAATTTTGCTTCAATGATTACAAAATTAAGTAAACTGCACATTTATATTAAAAATTATTTTGCAAAAATATATTTCAAATTAAAATACTAATTAATTTATTTTAAACAATACATCAAAATATATTAATCATTAAAAACATATAAAACACATATACCTATCCTAACAAGTGGTCATATTTATGAGATATATCTCAGGCAATAGGAATGTCATCAAGTTTCATTTACAAGAATAATAAAGTTAAACAGAAGTCTTGCACAACTGCCTGAAATGATGGTCAATTTGTTTAGAAACCAGATTGGATGATGATTGCTTTGTCCAACAAGTACATAAAACTATTTGAGGAGCAACAAAATGAAACATTAACTGAAGGAGGTAGAAACCAAACACAAACATTAATCACAGGTAATACTAACAACTTACCAAAAACTATTTCAGTTATGCTTGTTTTATTTGCACAATACGAAATATTTTAAACATACGTACTTGAAAAAGCGGATGAAACTTCCCAGAGCATGCTTTGACAACCTCTTGCCCAACAATCCCACCAAACATGGCAGCCATAGGATTCAGTACAGCCCTAGCACCAAAGGCAAATTGTCGCAAAAGTTTTGGATTTATATCATCTATTTTCTCATCACCTGAGCTGTCATTCATGTTACTAACAATGGCTATAAGCCTTTGAGCATCATCCTCTATCCCAGGAACAGGGAAGCGGCCTAACTCAGAAATGAACTTATCCAAAGCCTGGAATGCTAAGTGAAGGAGAGGTGGGCGATCAAACTTTGAAAAATCACTCAGAAGAAAATCACCTGGATCACTGAGTGCTTCCCTCAGTGGCTTAAAGTTCAGCACCTTATGTTGCTTGATTTGTGTGACAATACCACCCTTTTCATAGCTACCATAATTTGTAGTGTCTTCTTCAAGGGTAAATGAATATGCTCTAGCATTATTAATCTTTCTTGGCTTTCCATCATTCAATTCCTTCATGCCATGAACTTCAGAGAATACAACAAAATCTCCATCCTGAAACTCAAGCCTCTCGTCATCAACAAAGGATACTAGAGAAGGATTGTCATTAGTGACAGATGCAACTATGCCAGTATGGGGTTCCTCTCCATCAACATCAAAAACAGTAAACTCAGGCCCAAAGTCACAGAAGACAGAACCAAAAAGGCCTCTAACTTCAGTTTTAATAAAAGCAATAGGAGGTTGATGACTGTGACAGTAATCATTGAACTCAATGGCTTTCTCAAGACTAACATCAGTAAAAACAACAGCCTACAAAAACAAAAAATAAACAAGTCTGTAAGTAAATATTTCTAATTTAAATCTAATCTAACTAAACTAAACTCCATAAAAAATTACACCATTATCTAACAATTATAGGTTATATAATATTTACTTCAGAATTAGGCAATACTGTCAATCGCGGATAGCAGAAAACAGAGGATTGTTAAAATTCTATTACCCAATAATGCCACTGTAGCCACTATTTGGCAATATTTCGGTACTGAATAGCATAAGGCAGATCAATGGATGTTCGTCCAAAGCCTATGTAACAGTGCTAGTATAGCTGCTATTTAACAACACAATCATGCAAAACAACACAGCAGGACTTAATGGAAAGGAGCAACAAATCAAATACACGGATAGGTGTGCATATCTGAAATTTTATATGTTATGAGAAACTAGAAAGTTGTATAAACAAATTGTCTAAATAACAACAATCGCTACTAGCATACTAGAAGTGACAACATTTCCAGCAGCTACATAGTCCTTTCAAAAACCTATGCAAAGAGTAGAAAGCAGTAGATAAAATTATAATCTCCAGAAACAAAGAATAAATTTATAGATAAACATGTGTGTAAAGAGTAGAAAGCAGTAGATATACTTGGAAATCAGCAAGTTGGCCTTTTGTCAGCGCTGAAGTCAAGCTTTGCACAACCACTGCATTGTTCAACTCTTGCAACTTACCAACAGAAGCCAATGCTCTGTTTTTGCCAAGATCCTTCTCTGAAAACACAAAACTGCTAGACAGATCCCATAGCTCAACAGTTCCCACATCATGTAAGGTAACAGACTTGACACCAGCAAGAATGAGATTCTTTGCTGCAGGTAGTTTAACTTTATTAGAATACAAAACAAGATCAAATATTTTGAGACTAACAAATCTTAAAATTGAACTTAAATAGCACAACATAAATAGAATTGTTCAACTTTCACTTTTTATTATAAAATCTTTAACTAGCCAAAAGAAAGTATAACACAAATGACTACTGAGGTTTGAGACATCAGTACCACCAAAAGAAGGTACAAAAAACATTATATTACTGAAGCAATGTGTGGAGATACATATGCCAAATCAATTGCTTAAGCAATGTAAAAATTGCAAGACTAACTTGAAGAGCATTAAATTATTATGTATTGAAATCTCTCACCACATACAATAAATTGCAAGAGTGTACATTGATATTTAAATCACTGGCTCCATTTTTCAGATAGCTTCTATTTTCCAGGTTGCAGTGAAAAACAATTACCAAATCACAACGTTTATAAACAAATATAATTATCTAAGAAGCAGAGGTGAGAGCTACAAGAAATGTGGCAGGAATACTCATCCAGAGTTCTACCAAAACTATACCATCAATGCATCAAGAAACTAATATAATAATTGAAGTAACAAAAAACAGCTTGATAAGCAATAAACAAAGATCCATGATCAGAGACAACATACCAATCTCAGCGCCAAGACCCTGCATCCCAGACACAAGAACACTAGCCCCAAAGAGCCTACGCATGGTCTCTCGACCATACACAGCAAGCTGCCGGCTATGAAGGTCTTCATCAATATCCGACGGATTGGCATCTCCCAAAGTCATGACGTAGGTTCCTTGTTCAAGAGTCGTCTCGCTATTGCTGTTGTTATTACTACTACTGCTTAGACTCCGGTCGCTATTCACAACCGAACCCTCAGTTCCAACTGTGACAATCAGATTCTTCTTCTTTGGAAAACTATCAGTAGCTGCCTCTTCCACAACCACTCCTTCGCAGTGTCTCTTTCTAGGAAGCATATAGTGCAGTAAGCTGCTGAACAAAACGCAACGAAACCAAAAACCGATCATCAACACAACAATAACAACAAGAAAAGCAATCAAGAGCGAAGAATTAACAACGCCGCAATCGAACTCAATATCAACATTAGTAAAGATCAACTGAACATATACTAACAAGAACCCTAACCCTAACCCTAAGTTTTTTAGCATGATTACGATTCGAGTACAAAAGAACGAATCAAGAAGAGAATGGAGAATGAAGAAGCAACGTACCGATTGGAACTTCTAGGAGAAGTAAAGAAACGGAGAATGGAATCGTTTGCGTTTCGCGACTGCAATGTGCGATTAGCGTTGGAGTGTTCTCACTTTCTTGGAGATTTTTGGTTTTATACTAGAAATGAGAAATGCGAGATTAAAGAAAAGTTTGATTTATGGAGAGAGAGAGAGAGAGAGAGAGAGAGAGGGGGGGGGGGGGGGGTATTTATGGATTTTTGTTATTTTAGGGTTTGGGAATGGGAATCTAGAGATAGGACATGTGCTAGTGCTACTTCCATTTCTCTTTTTTTCTTTGGTCTTCTCAGAGAGAGAAGAGCTGAAACAGAGAGTGTGTTTGTAATGGATAATAGTACTGTGAGGTGTGAAGCGTCGTCGTTTTGCGTTGTTCTGACATATGAACGACATTCGCGTTAGGGCAGTCCATTAAACCGTGTTCGAACAAGCATCGGATCCAACGGTGAATAAAAGATCTAGAAGAACAAAGTAGAAGGAAACTGATTGGAAAAGAAAACACAACAATAAATCCGTTTTAGACATTTTTCTCTGCGTCGTTTTGCACTTTCTTTTTCGACGGAGCGTCGTTTTACTTTAAAAACTACGTCTAATTGAATAATGGGTTAAATTTTACTGTAATAATAACTTACCTGAAACAAGGAAAACACTTAAGTACCCCTAACTACAGAAAAATTATCTAATTAATTTATTATCTTTTGGTAGGATTTTAAAAATATATATTAGTTATAAGTGATCAAATTTAATTAATCTGCACTAAACTAATAAGAATTTATCAATATGTCATATCATATGAGTAACATAAAATTTAATACATGAGAATGATTAATTGATAATGTAAAATTATTTTACATTATTAGTTCATACCAATTAAATTTAAAATCATATTAAATATCAAAATATAAAATGGACAAATTTAATGTACTATCTAACTTTCTTTTATTAATATATTAAAAATTATATAAGTAATCTACCATATAAGAACCTCTGAACCCTGGTCGATACAAAACTATAATTGCTTGTCTACCTTACACATTACCATTTTCCCATCACTTCAAGTCATTTGTTGCCCTTACCATTACTATCTAACCATATATTATATTGCAACCATGTCTTTTTGCTTACATTCATGTCAATTTCTACTTTAGCAAACTAAAATACTTAATTCTTCTAATTATATGTCCCAAACCGACTGCAAAAAAGAGGTTGTACACGCTTCCCCGTTTGTCACTTCACTGATGCTTTCTTCTTCTGGTTGTCCATAACCACTTTCTCACTTCACTTCCTTTCTATTTACAAGCTCATCTTTGATATCCTTCTACTATTTGAAAACTGCCATCGTTAGCAACCACGGTCAGGATGGCGAGATCGTTCGAGATGATAAATGACATACTCACCTATATATATATATATATATATATATATATATATATATATATATATATATATATATATATATATATATATATATATATATATATATATATATATATATATATATATATATATCATACACTAAACCAAGCATATTCATCATGCATACCTTCGTAATTCTTATCATTCCACATAAACATACATATTCATGTTTATTCATTAATGCACAATTACAAAGATGATAAATGCAAATCATAGAGACCGACTCACGACACTATGCAAATGCAATGTGGTACCGACTTAATCATCTCAAATTCACTCAGGAACTTATTGGAACCATCGCTCGTTACCAATGTAACTCCTCGTCGGGCCTACGATGTTCACCCATTGCTCACACCTCATATAGGCACATGTTAGACGCCAAATTTCACTTATTTGATTTATCAAATGTTGGCATCTTTCACTCATTTTTGTCAAGATAGTGTTGAAAATCACTCTTACTTTGTTTGGTTTGCAATATATTGTGAAAATCTCTTGGTACCTTTGATTTGTGTGCTATTGTGCAGGAATTAGGCACAAAACAAATGGAAATTAAGACACAAGAAATATGACAAAGAAACCAAGGCAGCATGCAAACAACAGCAAGTTTGCTAGGCGAACTTGCTAGCGAAGCTCCCTCCAAGACTTCATGAAGTTCGCTAGGCGAACTATGTAGCAAAGGGCTCGCTAGGCGAAGTGGTAGGGAAGCTATAGCGAACACTCCCAGACTTGAGGCAGGGGCGAAAGGAGCATAAATTTGCTAGGCGAATCTCGCAGCGAAGCCTTCGTTAGGCGAAGGAATCACTCGCCTAACGAGTATCTGGAAATGTCTTAGGGGCGGTTTGACTGTTCAGTGGCACCTCACGTGCCTAATGTAACACCCCCTTTCTATACCCCTAAATAAACAATTAAATTATTTAGGCACTTAGTAAAATTCCATCAGAGTATAAATTAACACATGGTATAAAAGAGGTACGTCACACTATCCAGAAAATTCAAAACACATACAACACCTGCTCATAAAGATATGCAACAAAGGGTAAATCATCACAAAGGATCTTAATCCTTAAAACCCACATATCAACATTTAGAAGAAAAGCGGAAACATCTAAACATTGAATCACTTCATTCAAATAAACATTGTATACATCAACAGTTTAATTCAAGTCGTAAGTCATGTTTACAAAACATTCGCAGCAGATACATACATAGATGTATCACAAAAGAAACAAAAGAATTCCTAACTACCCGGTGCTACATATCAGAGCCAACCGACTAAAAAGAACGAAGCCACACTTCGCAAAAGACCTCCAGCAAACCTACTCTATAATGCCTCATAGAGCATCATAAAACAGCAGAAGGGTGAGAAACATTATCATAACAAACAATGCATATAATATACATATATAAATACACCAACATAGAGTACACATACTACATTTCTCACCTTAATACATCACAGTTCAATCATATATACATCGCAACACATATATAATTCACCAATCATTCGCATATTTCACATAAACATTTATGCTTATGTTTACTACACCAATATATCATATGAAGATAATAATGCACTTATAGAGACCGACTCACGACTCTATGCAGATGCAAATGCGGTACCGACTCATTCAGCAGGTTCAATTGAAGAACCAAATGGAACCATCGCTCGTTACCAAAGTAACTCCCCATCGGGCCTACGATGTTCACCCATCGCTCACACCCCACATGCGCACACGATGTTTCAGGATTGCTCACACCCCAAACGGGGACACAATCCGATTGCTCACACCCCACAAGGGCACACAATCGTTCTGCAGATTCTCCACGGAATCAAGTATAAATTATCGCTCACACCCCACAAGGGCACACGATCATTTCTGCAGATCCTCCTAGGGATCAAAGATAAACCGTCGCTCACACCCCACAAGGGCACACGAGGTTTCTGCAGATCCTACGCGGGATCAGACACACAAGAATGCAATCATGATGCTTCACAAACAAAACGACTTCATACACTATTGAAATGCATACATATTCACAAACATACTCATGCATTCTTCACATCGTACAAATACATACAATTATGCACATTCACATCAATCTCATCATGCATTTTCACTTAATTCAAACAAATGCACGAAATTGCCAAACGGCCACATTTCACACTTCACGATTCATAATCTAGGATTCACGCCATACGGCTACCCACAACATTTCATATTACATACACAACTATACATAATAAGAAATGATTAATCATACTTGAACCGAAGAATCGACATGGAAGTGAAAACACAAGAAAATAACATCCTGCTACGCTCGTTACCCTGCTCGCTACCTGTTCGCCTAGCGAGCAAGCTCGCGAAGGCAAACAGAAGCCTCTGACTTGATTCGCTACCCCACTCGCTCAGCGAAGGCCTAGCGAACGCTCGCTGCCAACGAAGAATATCAAAACCATTATGTCCAAGTCTGGGACCGTTCGCTACCGGCTCGCCACAATGAATGCCCAGTGAATGCTCGCGACCTGCTCGCCTGGCAAACGTGCTAGCGAGGGTCTGCGAACTCAGAATTTCCCATTGTCCAAAACTCCGAAACTCATTGAAATCTACCTGATTCAATCCCAACTCGTCTCAGTAGCCTTAGCCCAACATTCCTCGACTAAACTCTACCACTCATTCTCATTCTTAACCGTAAAAGCTCGGTTTCTATCGATTAAATCAAATTTAACCTAAAACGGAAAATGAGCAAAACTCTCCCCAATCCAAAATCAAACCAATAGAAACATACATAATCATACACATCGAAAGAATAATAAAGCTTCACACGCTTACCCGATTAATCGAAGCTTAGAAGTTTGATTATTGACGATTTTAGGTTTTTCTCCTCTTCTTCCTCTTTTCTCTTCTCCTTTCTCTTCTTTCCTTTCTATTTCTTTCTATCTCATTTATTTTCTCTCTATTTCCACTTATACTCTTTCTATTCTATTTCTCTCAAACATCTACTAATTAAGGATTAATTAAAACACCCTCTAATTAATTCCCAAAACTCTCCGAATAATAAAATAGCATAACACGCACACATAACATATTAATATTCAAATTCCAAAATTAAAAGAATAATCAATCAAAATAAATTAAAGACTCAACAGAAATGGGAAATTCAGAATCAGGGCGTTACAACTCTCCCCCACTTCAAAAAATTTCGTCCTCGAAAATATTACCTGATCCAAACAATTCCGGATGCGACTTCCGCATCTTACTCTCCAATTCCCAAGTCATGTTGCCTTCTGCAGCACCCCCCATGCTACTTTCACAAGAGTAATATCCTTGCCTCTTAGCTTTTTAACCTCACGATCCAAAATCCTAACCGATGAAACTTCAACCGTAAGATTATCTCTTACTTCAACCCCGTCCATAGGAATAACATGTGACGGGTCCGGAACATACTTCCGAAATTGCGAAACATGGAACACATCATGCAAATTTGAAAGATTCGGAGGCAACACC